AGTTCCCTAGTCCCCAGCTGCGCTCATGCACATGGAAATAAAAGCTGAGGAGCTAGAAATTTCCTACTGTCCAGGTGCTACTTCACAGCCACCCAGGAAGAAAGAAAGACAATGAGTGTACAGCTGCACACCAGCTTTTTAAAGGGTCTTTCCCTGATGCTGGGATCAGAGTGCTCCAGCCTTTAGAAGGTAGGAGTGTAGCTGGGAATCCTGGCTCAATGCAGCCCACTTTATGTTCCTAAGCACCAAAAGCCTGACACTGGGTAGAGGGTCCTCAATGTCAGACTCGCAGTAACCCCCCCCCCACAGCACAGCTGGGGATGGGGGAGACCCCCATCCTCTGCCGCACAGCAGCGCCAGTTTAAAGAGGCACCCAGACAAGCAGCAGAAGATTGGAAAAGCTCCCTCATCTCCAGCTTCCAGCACTGGGCATCTCCTGGGCACAGGCAGCTGGGGATGAGGGATCTTTCCACATACCCTGTTGCACATGTAGGACACTCCTTAAAAACAGTACAAGCAACAGGGAGAAGGAAGAACACAATACCTAGCTGCTAGCACTGGGTAGTGTTTTAAAATGGGAAAAATGCAGCTGGGGATGAAGGAGCTTTTTCTTGTCCCCAGCGGTACTTGCCCATTTAAACAGCCACCCAATGCTGGCAGCTGTGGATAAAGCAGCTTTCTCCTTCCTCTGCTGCTTGCTTAGGTGCTTCTTTAAACTGGTGCATGCAGTGAGGGACAGAAGAAGCTCCTTTATCCCCAGCTGCTCTTGACCTTTCAATGAGCTGTCCAGTGTTTGGCAGGCGCATAAAGATGGGGATGGAAGAAGCCTCCTCCAACCCAGCATCCTCCAGGGATAAAGCAGGGCGCACCTGGTGAGCTGTCCTCAATCCTATCCCACCTACTGGGCACAGGCTATGTCCCTACCCCTGGAGCTGCCTCAAGATGGACCCTGATGCTCAGCTGAGATTCAGTAGAAGGCAGCACCATCCTGATTTGGATGCAGTTTGTCTCCCGTCTGATCCTCAGGATCAGGCAGGGGATGGTAGTGTCCCAATACTCCAGAGCCACCCCATGGCCCTGAGGCTCACTGGGACCCTGCACCTAAAAAGCCTTTCCAGAGCTACAGGGAAAGGCTCTAAGGTGCGGGTTCTGGAAGGTCTACATCCCAATACTGATAATTGGCTCACTACCAGCACTGGGAACAGGGTATCCCCCCAGCCAGGTTCTAGACTTGGGGTTACCCAGGTCCCAAAATCAACAATCAGCTGCCTGTCAACATCAGGGTGATGGCACACCACGTGTTCAATTTATGGTGTCATACAAACCAGCCACAGATATTACACATTGGTATTTTATGACATCATAAATTCTATGAACATGACTCCAATTGCTATTTCTGGGGTGCTTAACACCCAAATTACACCAGAAATAATGTGTGACAGGGGTCCTAGAGTCCTGGTTTATGGCCAGCTCTTTTGTTCCAAGTAGCTTCATTAACTACGCCTTAGTCTGAGACAGTCTTTTGTTAAGTTTGTAACAAACCTCTCTTTTGCTCACTCTGAATATCTTAATATGGAGACTACCATATTGATAGCATGTTATTGTCCATTAAAACAACATGCTACAGTGAGTGGTATCACTTTAGCAATTTGTTCTACAGTGTGTAAATATAGATGAAGTAAAATTTTCACAGCAACTACTGCAATTACTACCCTTCATGATTACAGTGAATACTAAAAGTTTGATTTAAAAGAAACTATTTAATCTACATGCAAAAAAATAAAAGTTATACATTTTGTCTACATAAAAAAAGGTCTCTTTAAATTCTATCTTCCAGGCTTTAGATTTTTGTTCAGTTGCTTCACACTTTAAAATGTGAGCAATTTTCCTCCATCAGCTCCTTCCATACATGGACTAAAACTGATTTGCAACAGGCCCTTTTGATGTTATGCCATGACATTTTCAAGACTGTTATTTAAAGCTGGTTGTCACTGCAGTGTTGAAATGTGCTCTGTTTATAGAAGGCTTCTTGTTCCTTCTCACAAAATCATATGTACCTATAAATATTCAAACAGGCACCTTTGAAAGCTTTACAGGCAGAAGGCACTCATTCAAGAGGAAGTCCCACTGCCGGTTCTGAAGTTCCAAGAAATTTATTACTGCTAAATACTGATCCCAGAGGGACACCTGAAACCCCTCTGGCTAAAGGGCCATTACTAAATTTTCCAATTACTAAAATTATTTGCTAAAAGTTTATTCAACAATTTTAAAATTGTAGCAGAGACTGCTAAAAATAAGACAGTAGCTTAAAAAAGAAAGTATTACAGCAAAACTACTTTTTAGATTTTCTCAAGAAGTTAGATGAATTAGGAGGTTCTGTGGGAGTCAGTTCAAGCCTACTGTCTTGTGGGCGAACTATTTGCTGAGTGCAGGCAGCAATCTAACAGTGTAAGCAAGTGCCAAGGACAGCTGCTATTCACAGGGGCAGAAGCAACTTTCAGTTGGTGCCAGAGCAATTGTGGTGGCAGCCTCTCTCTCACCTTCAAGTCAACTGCCCTAGTTGCCCTGCTCTTGTTAGGTATGCCACTAAATGTAGGCACATGTTTAAATGTTGAGTTTCAGTATTCCTTCAAGGCAGAGAGCCAAAGCATAGGAAAGCTTTCAACAGTGCCTGTATCTACCAACAATCACCATCAAGTTGTGACAGGCACAAATGCAGGCGAAGTGTAGAAACAGGGGAAACTAAACTTTCTCTCACCGTATCTCCAGGAGCCCCGATCCCGGGAGTTGGAGAAAGGGAGCAGTTACAGTCAACATGTTATGACACACAGCTCTGAATTGTTCAAAATTTATATTCTTAATCCATGGCTGCAAAGGCGTAGTCTTGAGTGGTTATTTTGTATAGAAATATGATGTCATGTCTAATTTGAATATTAAATTTACATATTGCTGGCTACATTAAAACCAGGTCTATTCCAGGTCTGGTTCTGTCATTTAAATCGTATAATTTTGGTAAGAGCAGTCTCAGATCCATCTATTTCAATTCCCCCCACTCGAACCCGATACTGACTTAAAACATGTGTCACCTTGGATTCAAGATGCATGTTGGACTACTTGACAAGACTGATGCCTCAGTATGTTACTAATGCTACTCAGCATTAAAAACTTTTCAAGTCCAGTTTGGGATCTCTACATGTTACCTGAGGTATGACAGAACTGGGGCAAATGATTGAAATTTAATACACACACAACTGATTTATCAGAATATTTACCATTGATGAGGGACTCTAACAACTGATCTGTAAAATTAAAATTGGTCAGCCATTTATCTACATAAGCATGCCCCTGTGGTATTTGTTGCTGTTCCCAGCACATGATTTCCTCTCTAGGTCCTACTGGATTCTACCCCACTACTGCAGAAGCAAGTTCTAGGTTTCCCAAATACTAACTATTATTACAAAGAAAAATGTAATGTGCCATTCAAGCGATAAGGCCAGTTATAAACTGATGCAGAACAAATATGTACTTCATACCGTACAAAACTAATAATATCTATCTTGGAAGTGTGAACATATTATTTGATTTTCCAGTTTCTCCACCTGACCCTCCACTTCAGCTGAAACCTACTGTGTTAACCTGCTGTTAGTGACAGCCAAGACACTTTCCAGAACAGAGATACAGCACTCATTTGTAGAACAACATTGTTTCAGACTTCACTCCTTTGAAGTTCAAAGCAAGCTTTTCTCCATATGTCTACAGATTCAGGTTTTTGATTGAGCATCCATTGAATTGCAACATATTCTCCCAGGGATGGGTTTAATTCCACCCCCCATGCTCCCCCCCAGAGGCACCATCAGATTAGGTTCTAGACAGTATTTCATGTATGTTCACAAAAGGTGCAGACAGAGGTGACAATTTTACCCCATATGGCCACAGAAAGCCATCTATGGCCCAGATTAAACACAAGTGCACAGCTGTAGACCACTTAAAAATGGCCAATAGGATGAAAATCTGAATTCTCGTTGCATGAAGATTCAGATTAAAACATTTCAAAACATAGCATCTTCTGTAACTTCTGTCATTGTTTTTAGAATGGGAGGAGGGGAAAAGGGAGCAGAGGGACTTTGGTTTGGGGATTTTTTAGCCCCTGCTAGAAGGTGGGGCTCTCCTGAGGTGGGGGGCAAGAGGACTCAAGTTTACCCACCCCACCCTCCAGCACATTTTACCAGTTCCCCAGCCAGAGCTCTTTCTGCTCCCTTTCCCTCCTTCCATTCTGAGAGCAGCGAGGGCTTGCAGGCGGCTGGCAGGGAGACAGGAATATTGGCTAGGGAAAACTAGCTTCAGGCTCGCAGCCAACAGCTAGATTCTCCTACTCCCTGGAACCACTAGTGAACTTCTGTTTGATCTGGTGGCAGTGTATTCATGCAAATTTAGGGTTCACAAACGTGTTGAATGGCTACATGGACCATTGTGATTTGCAGGGCACCACAGAACACATGAAGGTAGCAACAGCAGTTTAAGACTTGACATTGGAGATAGGTGTTCCTTTAGTTCTGTGATGGCCAAGCATAGTTGTTCACTCCTATGACTACAAGAATGCACTCCAAAAAAGTACCAACTGAAGATGCTTTTAAAATGGGGATAACAGCCCCACTATGAACTCTCCCAAAAGCTTGCAACTCTTCACACAGACCAGTAAAATAGTTAATCACCAGGGATCCTGGTTTTCTCCAT